CAACAACTATTCATTCAGGAATGTTGCTCATATTTGGCACAGCTGTGTATTTATACTTGGGAAAGAAAAACTTGGAAGCAATTAGCAACCACAAAAATGATTCAAACCATTGCAAACTATATTTCAATGAACTATCACGCTTCCCTGCTTAGCCTAGCATTTTCAAACCTGGCATCTTCCAGAATCCAGATGTACTGAGATTACAATTCCCAGAATCAATCCTGATTTTGAAAAGGGACAGAACAGATGCAAATATAAGCTGAAATTATGAACACGGTGGTTGCTTTTTGTCATCTCATCCCAAGGTCCTAGGCTGGCAGCTTCAGCTCAGATACAGAAGCAAGCAGCTATGATATGCCTGAGAAAGCAACAGGCAAAAGAAAGCAGCTTATATCATACAATTATATCTTATAGCTTATATCGATTTCAATTACTTCGTAAAAATGAAAGACGGCAGAAAAAGCCAGTATGGCTGCATATAAATTAGAAAATCTGGGTGGACATACATACATACATACATACATACATACACACACACACACACACACACACACAAATATCAAAGCTAAAAAAAACAGAGGATAGCTACTTCACAATAATACTTGTGAAATGATCTTGGAATATTAGTTGACTACAAATGGAGCATGAGTCAGCAACATGGCTGCAAAAAGATATGCAGATACCACAGAAATATAGGGTCTCAAATTATTGAAAGCAATGGTTCCAATTTGTGTTAAAAATCATTTAAAATATTGTGTCCAGTTCTTGGCACTAAACTGTAAGAAAGGTTTGGACAAACTGGAGTAGGTTCGACAAAGGCCAACAGGAATAAACAAGACTAGTTCTACAACAACAAAACCCAGTCAATTTTAAATCATCTTTTAGTACTACCGGTAATACCCATCATTTATTTTGCTTTTATTGATTGTAAGCCACCTAGAGTTGCTTCTTGTCAAGATGGTTGGCATCTTACTTATTAGCTAGTCAGTCAGTCAGTGAGAAAGAGGGAGGGAGGGAGGCAGACGGATGGACGGATGGACAGATATTGAAGGCCCTGACTATACTTAGCCTTGAGAAAGCTGAGAAGGGATAGGTTAGTTCTCTTCAGATTGCTCAAAGGATATTATTATACAGAAGCAGCCCAGGACTTCCTTAATTTCAGAATGCAGGTTACCAGGTCTGAAATAAGCCGGAGAAAGTCAGATTCCAACTGAATTTTTTATATAGGCAGCCATCCACGGAGGGTGCTTGGAACTGGAAGACCCGCACCATCAAAAGATTGGACCCAGTGGCCTAGAATGTTTCATGAGGAAGGAAAAGCTTTGCTAAGGCCTGAGATGCCTACTCCACCCAGGTCACATTCTGGCAGCATAAATCACTGGATAGAAGGTTTGCAGCAAAATGCAGCGGAGTTCACTGCCAAGCCTCTAACATCACAGCTCATCTGGTACCCATAAGCCCACCATCAGAATCACAGAGGCTTAATCGAAAAAAAGGCGGTAAGGATATAAAAGAGAAAAGTGTGTCCTAACCAAGATGGATGACGAACGGACCTATACCAGAGAACGCTTCAATCCAGAAGTCTGAAGCTGGTTGCTCTTTAATGCCCACGTACCAGGGTCTTCCAGAAAAGATCAAGGTGCCATCTTAAGGCACAAAGTCCCTCTTCCGGATCCCTGACAGTGGTGTTAAAAACAGAAAGACACTTCATGCTTCGTTGCTCCATGGCAGGGCTTTAAGGGGGATCACCAGCACCATGAGCTGTACCGGCAATCAGTGCACGGAAGAAGTGACACCTGGGCTGCTACTCAGGTGGGAAGCCGGGGTCCCATCAGTTAGCGATGGCCATCTGGCAGGACCACAACAAAAGGGCCTTCTCGGTGGTATGGAACGGCATTCTCTAGGGAACGGCATTCCCCACGGGATTCAGTTGCTCTCCACGCCGTTGCTCTTCCGGAAGGTCCTAAAAATGTGAGTGGGTCAGGGGGACTTCCAAATGGGCACAGAGCCCATCAAATGATTTCACTGTGTTGGTGCTGTCGTTTGGGGGGAGCGGGGGAAGTACTTGCATGCAGCTATGGGCTTTTATTCTACGGTGGATTTTTGAAAATGTCATCCGGAGTCATCTATGTGTGAGTTGGGCGGCTATAAAAGTTCGTTTGATAAATAAAAAATAAACCCAAGGCTGAACCTCCCCAGACTCTGGTGCCTGCAGTGGGGGCAGCCCAATGGCAATTTGCAGAGGGGTTTTGTCACTCTCTCTCCAACGAGCCAAGGCTCCAGAATTCAATTACAGGGACATCCTCGTAGGGTGAAAAAACTCTGTGTCCAGTCGTGTTCCTCCACTCCTCTTCACATCTCCTTCTCTCTCTCCCTCTCCCGCCCTCCCTCAACACACATTTATCTCCATCTCCAACATCCGCTTCACCCCACCTTCCTGCCAGTCCCCTTGCTTCCAGTAACTTCATCTCCATCGGGGAGGTCCAAAAGCCGTGCTTCTGCTTTTGATACAATGCCCACCGGAGCTTCCAACTTCCCCCAAAGCAGAATTAGCCCGTTCCCTCCAGCTGCTTAATAACTGCTATGGCTGTCAAGCTGGAACACGCCACCCTGGAGTGACACAACAGCCAGCCAGCCAGCCAGCCAGCCACCCACCTGGGCCAAGAGGGAGCTGGCCTGCTTCCTCTCAGTGGCAGCCATGATGTCGGCTGAGAGTCGATCCACTCCGCCTGCGGGCCTCATCGTGTCTCCCATGACTGGGATGATTTGGCACGGGGGGCCCTGAATGAAATCCACCATTCTGCCTGTTCTAACCTCGACTGACCTCTTGAACATTTTTTTAAAAAAGCACCCGCTGGAGGAAAAGCCATTTCTCTTCCTTTCAGCCAGGCCCTGAGTTGCATTGGACCAGAAGATCCCTTCCAACTCCGTGAATGCAATGGAATGGCTCGCGCTCCAGTGCCTCCTCTTCTCCAGGCTCAACGGCCATTTATCATCTCAAGGACCTCCAGACCCACTGCCACAACTTTGAGCCTTGGGAACCTCCACAGATCATCAGAGTTATCGTTTTTGATGGGCGTACTGAAAGCACTTCTATCCCCAGGGTTGGAAACCGGCTTCCAGAGGGGCTAAGAGATAAACAAAAGCAGACAGTCTGCGCCCGCAGGCTTTGGCTTGCGGCGTAAAAGGAGATGACACACAAGGAAAACAAGTGGGGAAGAAAAGAGGAAACAAGAACATTGAGCAGCTAGTTCTTAAGGTTATGTCGCTCTTATGCCTGTTATGAGGCACGTAGACTATTTTGTGCGCTTTTTAAATACTTTTTATTAGATCTCGTCGCTCAATATTCCACTTGACTAGATAGTAGCTAATAACACCGTTAACAAGCAACCGATAATAGCCACCAATAAAACAAACCAGCAAATATCAGATTAAAGAGATTTTCTTCCAAGGGACCTTACTATACAGCAATGGCTGTAAACACAGCAAGACCTGTTCTATATTCTCTAATACATGAAGCCTGTAATTCTCTCTCTCTCTCTCTCTCTCTCTTTCTCTCTCTCTCTCTCTCTCTCTCTCTTTTCTCTCTCTCACACACACACATGAATATCTAGCCCTTCCAAGTATATGTACAAGTATTTTATCTCAGTACTCATCTGAGCAATAAACCTTCCATTTCCTAAGATGTCATCAATCACAGTCTCTTCTCGGCCATGCAAGTTCATTCCAAGACCTAATCAACATCTATAGTCACTCCCGCACCCCATAAAAACCTGAAGAGGGGCACGTCCAAGCCCTCAACAGCCCTGCCATCTTAGCAACCTTAATCTTGGTCCCTGTATGGCTAGTTTCAAAGGCAACTTTTGAAGTTACATCCCTAAGACGTGTTAACCATTCTGTAAATAGTCCCAAAGGTGCTTTTCCAAAAGGCAACTGGACTTCCCTTCCCTCGAAAACCTTTCGTTTCTCTCCAAGAAGCTTCCGGAGAATGAACCGAAGAAGCTTCTTGGATGAGAAGCGAAACGTCTTCAAGGGAAAGAGCCTCGGTGGCGGCAGTGGTTGAAGTGCAGTACTGCAAGCCACTTCTGCTGACCATCGGCTGCCTGTAATTTGGCAGTTCAAATCCCACCAGGCTCAAGGTTGACTCAGCCTTCCATCCTTCCGAGGTGGGTAAAATGAGGAGCCAGATTGTTGGGGGGGTGATAGGCTGACTCTGTGAACCGTTTAGAGAGGGCTATAAAGCGGTATATAAATCCAAGTGCTATTGCTATAAAACAAAATCAAACAAGGAAGTCCAGCTGCCTTTGGAACAACCATGATGATTGAGCATGTCCAACCTTTTAACCACAAACTGGGATAACCTGTCTACTACCCCCCCATCCAACAAAACCTCCCTTTGCACAGCTGTGATGGTACCCCTGTCCCCCCCCCACAACATCCACCAAGGACCACAGGTTGGTCCACCCCCCACTATTCCACATCAGGAGACGCCAAACACTCCAGCCTATCTTCTCCTTCTCCAGCAATGCTGCCTTAGCCCGCCCCCACCCCCGTCTTTCCCCACCGCTACCCCAGAGTCACGACCCCCCTCCAGCCACCTATCTCCATTGCCCCCGCTTCCCCACCTGGTGGACCCCAGAAAGGTTAATTTATCTCCACCTCCCATCATCTCATCTGCCATGTTAGCACTACCCTTGGAGAGCCCCCAATAAGACCCCCCAGCTAAGTTGGCCATGGATGATGGGATGTGTGCTCCCTCCCCTGAGGGATAGAAGCAGCCCCTCCACCCCCCCCAAAGTTCCTCCCCCTTTTCGCATGCCTTAGCTTAGCCCCGCCCACACGGAGGTCGCTGCTCCCTGCCCACCCGGCGCCCCTCCGTCTCTCTCTCTCTCTCTCTCATTTACATATTTTATTAGCATGCCCGCCGTCGGAGCCAATCAGGGCGCTCCGAACGCTCGTTTGCATACCCGCCTCCTCGGCGGTCCGCCCTCCCCACTCACCCCTCCGCAGGGCCTCGTCGTAGGTGAGGAAGCCGATGCGCGACTCCTTGTTGCCCATCGCGGTCTCCTCAGTCCATGGCGGGCGGCCGCCGCCGCCGCCGCCCGTGCCCCGCAACAGTCGCTCGCCTCAGGCGGCTGCCGCCGTCGCGGCCGCCGGTTCGCCTGGACTAGCAGCAGCCGCGGCAGCCGCAACAGCAGCGCCGCCCCCGCCGACTCCTGTGGAAGATGTTCGCCTCAGCTGCTGCCGCCGCCGCCACTACCTCCATTCCGAATCACGTGACGTCGCCAATTAACTGACCCCTCCTCTTCTTTCAAAGCTCGGCCCCGCCCCCTTGGCTTGTCACTCGTCTCTCCTCCCCCCCTCTTCCCACCCCCCACCCCCAGCTGGAGAACGCGAGCTGTTCGGCCAGCCCTCACTTCCGGTGCGAGGTCGGCCGCGCGCCGGCAGGAAGGCAGGCAATGCGCGTGCGCAGACTCGCACCAAATTCTCTTTTTTTCCGGGTTTTTTTTAATCTATAAGAATGTTTTAAAATATATAATGTTTTTATACTTTTTTTAATTGTTTTTTTTTCACAGAACTGTTGGTGGAAATCTTTCCTCCGTTCCTTTTTAAAGTTCTCTCACTTGGCAGTAAATATAGGGGTGAAAATAATGTACAGAATAGTATACAGATGTAAGGGACCTTGTAGGCCATCTAGTCCAGCCCAAGCTGGAGACTCTATTTCTGACAGGTGGCAGACGTAATAAATAGCACTGATTAGTTTTCTATAAGACTGGAAATTTACCTCATAATTTCCCAGAGCATTTCAGGAATAAATATATCCTGTGTGGCCCCTGTCAAATTATATAGGGACATCAACCAATAATAACAATTTGTGTGGAAGAGAGATGTAATTTGGATTATGTGATCTATGCATACAGGTAGTCCTTGACTTACAACAACGTGACTTATGAAAAAAGTGACTTATGACCGTTTTTCACACTTATGACTGTTGCAGCATCCCCACAGTCAAGGCATTAAAATTCAGACGCCTGGCAACCGACTCGTATTTATGACAGTTGCAATGTCCTGGGGTCATGTGATCCCCTTTGGCGATGTGACAAGCAAATTGCATGGGGAAGCCAGATTCACTTAACAACCATATCAATAACTTAACACCTCCTTAACAACTGTGGCAAGGAAGGTTGTAAAATGGGGCAAAACTCACTTAACAACTGTCTCACTTAGCAAGAGAAATTTTGGGGCTCAATTGTCATTGTAAAGTCAAGGACTACCTGTAACAGAGTTGGGAGGGACCTTAGAGGTCTTCTAGTCCAACCCCCTTCAGGCACTACCGTTTCAAACAAATGGTACGGTTCAAACATTGGGCTGTCCAATCACTTCTTAGAAGCCTCCAGTATTGGAGCATCCACAACTTCTGGAGACAAGCCATTCCACCCATTAATTGTTCTAACAGTGAAGACCAGTGGATTCTAACCAGTGGAACAGCTTGTCACTTAAAATTGTAGGGGCTTCATTCATCACTAGAAGCTTTTAAGAAGAGACTGGACAGTCGCTTGTCTGAAACAGCATAGGGTCTCCTGCTTGAGCAGGGGGTGGACTATAAGACCTCCAAGGTCCCAGCTTAATTCTGATTCTCACTGTCAGGAAATTTCTCCTTAAATTCTTGGATGCTTATCTCCTTGACTAGTTTCCATCCATTGCTTCTTGTCTTGCCTTCATCTGCTCTGGAGAACAGGGCAGCCCCTCAAATATTGGGAAACTGCTACTGCAATATATTTTCTGTTCTCTCTCGGAAGGGTGACAATGCTAGATTCAAACGACCTTCGGTTGGAAACCTGAAGTGTGCTCCTCTCGCTTTAATCTTCCCTTTGCACTGATCCAAAAATAGCCCCGCCCCTCCAATCTTGCTCTCCTCACGTGACATGAGGGAGGACAGCGGGTACTCTCTCTCCTTCTACAGAAATAATAATGTAGAGTTACCCGCAAGTGCCCAAACCAAAATATAATTTCCTTCTTGTCTTCTATAAAAAAACATAGATATACATCCCTGCCGTGGGGGGAAACACATGACTCTCTGCCACTGTCTGAAACCATGCAGAGTTTTAATTGCAATTTTGAAGCCCACCAATCTAACCTCTATGACGTTTTCATGGCAGGTATTTGGCAGTAATTGAGAAGCATTTCGACCATCTATCTTATGTAGGGAGGAGCCCATAGAGATAAAAAATATTATAGGGGATGGAGAGTATCCAAATGTTCCCCTTTGAAGGATTTTTTTTGTACTAGAACTAATGGCAACTTGATCACTCTCTACATATGCCTGGAATGCACTACCTGACTCTGTTGTTACATCCTCTAATCCCCACTCCTTTAACCTCAAACTAACCACTATTGACCTCACCCCATTCTTAGGAGGTCTCTAAGGGACGTGCATGAGTACACTATCTTGCCTACTGTCCCTGTCCTTTTGTCTCCATTTATTCGTACCTATTCCCTGTATTCTTACTCATGTTTATACTTATACCTATTATCTTGTAAGCAATTGACCAATCAAATAAATAAATAAAATACTTTATTTTTTTATTTTATTATTTTGTCAACCAATTATAAGAACAGGTATAGGTATAAACATAGTTATGGATACATGAAATGGATAGATATAAGAAAAAAAAATAGGACAGGGACGGTAGGCATGTTGGTGCACTTATGCACACCCCCTACAGACCTCTTAGGAAAGGAGTAAGGTCAATAGTAGACAGTCTAAGATTAAGGTTTTGGGGGTTTGGGGAAGAAACCACAGAGTCAGGTACAGTATTCCAGACATTGACCACTCTGTTGCTGAAGTCGTATTTCCTGCAATCAAGTTTGGTGCGATTAACCTTGAGTTTGCCTCTATTGTTTGCTCTTGTGTTGTTATGGTTGGAGCTAAAGTATTCATTGACAGGACATTGCAATGTATGATTTTATATATTATACTTAGATTGGACGGAAGGCGGCGTAGTTCTAGGTTTTCTAGGTCTAGAGTTTCAAGTCTGGTGGCATAAGGTATTCTGCAATGAGTAGAGGAGTGGAGAACTCTTCTTGTGGAATATTTCTGGACTTTCTCAACTGTGTTAACATCAGATAGGTAATGTGGGTTCTAGACTGATAAGCTGTATTCAAGTATTGGTCTAGCAAATGTTTTGTATGCTCTCGTTAGTAGCATGATATTAACAGAGAAAAAGCTACGTAAGATTAGGTTAACAACTCTTAATGCCTTTTTGGCTATGTAGTTACAGTGGGCTCTAGCACTTAGATCATTAGAGATGAGTATTCCAAGGTGCTTTACAGAGGTCTTTACTATTGAGCTTGTATTTTATTTTCTGATTTTTTTTTTTTGCCAATATGTAAAACAGATACATCAGTGTTTCTTGTAACTTGAGGCTGTGTGAACTTCAACTCCCAGAAGTCCCATAATACTAGGAGTCGAAGTCCCCATCTCTTAAAATTATCAAGTTCGAGAGATGCAGCTGTACATCTTACCATCTGTATTCTGAATATTGCAACTATTCTACCTGTGTGGTTCATAAGAGTTGACAACAACTGGATGGCATATGATCGGACCACCCCAAAAATTAAAATTATCATTAAACATACAACACATTTAATTTTGTTGTACAAAGTGCAATGACAATAAGGTACAGTAAAGTAAACATCCTATCATAGTCATTGGTCTTTGTATTATCTTGATAGATTGCCACTTTATTAATGAATATATTAGGGGACTGAAGTTTAAAACATGCAAAGAACGATTACAGGAATTGGGTAGGTCTGAAAAATGGTTACGGGAATTGGCTATGTCAAGTCTAGTAAAAACAAGGACCAGGGGAGACATGATAGCAGTCTTCCAAAATCTCAGGGGCTGCCCCAAAGAAGAGGGAGTCAAGCTATTCTCCAAAGCACCTGAAGGTAGACTAAGGAGGAATTTCCTGAAAGTGAGAACAATTAATAATGCTTTAATGGTCGTAGTATGAAAAATGGTCACTTTTTTCAGTGTCATTGTAACTCTGAATGGTTGCTAAATGTTTGTAAATTAAGGAGTACTGTATGGATTGAAAAACCATATGGGTATGTCTGTCCTCATCTATTGTCACTTCCAGCATAGTTGCAAACCATCATGATGAAAGGATGAGAAATGCTTGTGTCTCAACGCTGAACATGAGAACATAAATCATACGGTTTCCATCATAACGTTGCTAGGCAGGGTTCATCGCGCCCTCCTCCCTTCTCTTCCTTCCCCTCCCAGATACTCAGTAGCCCTCAAAAATGATATTTTATTGAAAGCTGGGATTTTCCCAACTACAAGGAAGCATTTTGTTTAAACCATGTGAATTGTATTTTAGCACCTCTGCTGGTTCTCACGGGCACCTCTGAGCAAACCGGAGAACTGAACTTGGGATAAGAGAGGAAATGGCTAAGGGGAGGCTTGCAGAAAAGATGACACAAACGAGGGAAACTGGGAAGAGTAAGAAAGAAACTCAAGGGAAGAAGACTTGCTTGATTTTGTACAGTATCAGAATTACAAGATCCAGAGTTATGACCACAAGTGGTACTAGAATGGCAAAGCAAGGTGGCTGTTAAGTGAGTCATACCTGACTTTATGACTCGTCTGCCATAACAAATCTGCATGGTTAAGCGAATCATTGCAATCTCTCAACAAATCACATAGTCATTAAGTTAACCTGGCTTCCCCTTCCGGCTTTGCTTGCCGGAAGCGTGCAGGGAAGGTCATAAATGATGATGAGATGACTCCAGGATGCTGCAACTGTCATAAATACATGCCAGTTGCCAAGCCCCTGTATTTTAATCACATGACCATGGGGACAATTGTAAATGTGAGGACCAATTCACATAACAACTGCAACAGGTCATAAAATAATTACAATCAATCCTTCAACTTTGTCCTTTTTTATCACGGCAATTTCCGTCACATGACAAAATTGCTTAGGCTCTGTGATGCTGTATAAATCTGGAGGGGAAAAAAAAAAAGAGAATTAATTTGCGAGAATGTACGGCCATGCTCCAAAATGTGTATTCAACTTGCACCTTTTCTTGCCCTTTGCCAGTATGTTTGCTCTGGAATCTAACCTTCTCATGTAATGGAAAGTGGTCATAAGGCAGAATTTGACTGTCATTTTTTAAGCAAACATTTTCACTGCAGACTGATAAGATTAATTCCAGGAAGTTTTAGCAGGGATAAAGGAAACTTGCAGATCAACAAGGAGGGGGAGGATTTTCTCTCCTTGTTTTTCTTTGGCAGTCATTTTCAAGCAAAGTTCACAACATGGGCTTTGGCACACAATATTTTTTGCTTAGGGCAGTGTTTCTCATCCTTGGAAACTTGAAGCTGTGTGGACTTCAACACCCAAGCTTCCCTAGGCAGCCATGGTTTGACCAAAAACGGACATATACTTTCAGATTTTGGCAAAATTGTGTCCACAATGAATCATTCATTCACTTAAGGACCGTGGATTCATGTAACAATGACTACAAAATGGCAGACTCCATCATGGTCATGATTTTAAGTCTACATTTAATGGTGAGGATGGCTTTTTAATTGGGAAATTCATTTATTTGCATCTTTTCTGCATCTGGAAAGCCAAACCAGATGTTTTGGATAACATTCTTCAGTGGGGGCCCGAAATTCCAAATATGTGACTAGTTGAAGTATTCTGCTCTTCAGATTCCTATCAGAGGTACCAGTCAAAAAAGTCAAGGTGGCAGCTGCGATGGCACAATTGAAGCGCCACATATTTTTTTGCACACATGCGAAAAGGGGTGTTGCTTTTACACGTAGTCCTCAACTTACAACAAATTACATTGCTAAGGGAGGCTGCCCAACATTGCCACAGCTAAGTGAGGCAGTTGTTGAGTTTTGCCCCATTTTGCAACCTTTTTACCACAGTTGTTAAGTGAATCACCACAGTGGTTATGTTAGTACAACGGTTGTTAAGCGAATCTGGCTTCCCCATTGACTTTGCGTGTCAGATGGTCACAAAAAGAGGATAACACTATGACCGGGACATTATGACCGTCATAAATATGAAGCAGTTGCCATGCATCCAAATTTTGATCACATGACCATAGGGTTGCTGCAACGGTTATATATGAAAAAAAAACCCAGTCATAAACTACTTTTTTCAGTGTTGTTGTGTTGGAAGAATTATCCTTCTGGGTTCAGGTCCAAGTGGGGGAAAAATACTGGAAACTTGGAGGCTGTTTGGAAAGATGATTTAATGGTGGACAGGATCACATGCCTTGGAGCTCTTGGGCAAAAAAAAAAGGGAAGAGATGCTGAGAGTGCCTGGGTTTTATGTCCTCTGTTGGGCTTTGAATTTGAGCTTGGGTTCTGATTGGTTGTCAGACTCCCATGGCGCCATGCAGGGGCAACTTTGTAGGTTGTCTTTAGAGTCCCAGGCTTGGTTGACTCTTGCTGGGTGATGATGTAATGAAAGGGCTTTGGGCAATTCCTGGTATGGTTCTACCTGAAGGAGGGAGATCTTTGTTGTGTAGAATAGACTGGCCCAGGCCTTAATGACCCATTAATGAAGGTGTGTGTTTGGGGGGGTGAGTTTCTGCCTCTCTTGAGTATCTACTTTTTAGGGGAAATAGTCTGCTTTTTTAATATATCCTAAAATATTTCATTTTTCTGGGAGAGGGGTGGATTTTAACTTCCTACAGTTGTAAGTTCAAATTGTGACTAAAAAATGATTGTAAATCAAGGACTACCTCTGTTACCATGAATTAGCAATCTCCTTGGGCCTCTTTCCCTAAAGAACAATTTCCTCTCCATCATTCAAACCAGAATCCCTTTTTTTCTCAAGGTCATGGAAAAAGCAATAAGATACTTCTGCATTCATCTTCTTCCAAGCCACTCTGACTGGACACATTTATTTTTCATCCCACCCAATTTTAGGCAGATAAAGGAATAAAGACCTTTCTCATTCCATACAGTTTCCTCCCCAAAATGTTTTTTGCCAAGCACTACAATCACCAGCTTTTAAAAACCGGAGTAATAAACCCTGTAGATCTTTCATGGTGGAAATATTATTTGACTGAGTCAGGATAGAGGATCTTATAAGACCGGAGTCTTCAAACTTGACAGCTTTAAGACTTGTGGACTTCAACTCCCAGAATTCCTCCTCCAGTCATGAGAGCTCAGGAATTCTGGGAGTTGAAGCCCACAAGTCTTAAAGCTGTCAAGTTTGAAGACCCTTGTTATAAGGCATACTATTGTTTATTCTTAGGCAGGGATGGGCAGCTACGGCAAATTTACAACCTGTGGACTTCAACTCCCAAAATTCCTGAACTAACCATGCTGGCTCCGGAATTTTGGGACTTGAAGTCCACAGGTTTTTAAGTCGCTATAGTTGCCTCACTCTCCCTAACGGTGCTCTCCCTAATCTGAACCCAGGCCATGGCTCAATTTCCGTGGCCGTGTGACTCATGCTTGGCTTACTGATATTTTTTGTAAAATCATCCACAACTGGCCCGGTTTGCTCAAACTTCAGTGAGTCCCTAGATCAGTATTTCTGGGAATTCTGGGAGTTGAAGTCCGCGAAGTTCAAGAGGCCAAGATGGAGAAACCCTGCCCTAAGTGTCAGCAAAGAATATCCTTTACTGCCCTCTAGTGGTCAGTCCATAATTTTACAGCCTTTATATGGCAGTCCTAGATTTCAGTTGCTAAGTTGTGTTTGAATCTTCACTTTCAACCTCACTGTTCTCCACTGTCTCAGAGTTTGCCCAAATTAATGTTCAACACCACAGACAATACTGATACCCTTCAAAAAGACCTTGACTATGTATCAGAATGGTCAAACAAATGGCAACTTCAAATCTCAACAAATAAATTATCTGTCCTACATATTGGCAAAAAAAATCAGAAAATAAAATACAGGCTGAATAGTCAAGACCTTGTTGATGATCCAGACTCTGTCAAGGACCTTGGAATACTCATCTCAAATGACCTAAGTGCTAGAGCCCATTGTAACTACATAGCCAAAAAGGCGTTAAGAGTTGTTAACCTAATCCTACATAGCTTTTTCTCTGGTAATATCACACTACTAACGAGAGCATACAAAACATTTGCTAGATCAATGCTCGAATATAGCTCATCAGTCTGGAACCCACATTACGTGTCTGATATTAGCACAGTTGAAAAAGTCCAGAAATATTTCACAAGAAGAGTTCTCCACTCCTCTACTCGTTGTAGAATACCTTATGCCACTAGGCTTGAAATTTTAGACCTGGAAAACCTTGAATTACACTGTCTTCAGTCTGATCTAAGTATGGTATATAAAATTATACGTTGCGATGTCCTACCTGTCAATGAATACTTCAGCTTCAACCATAACAACACAAGAGCACACAATAGATACAAACTCGAGGTAAACTGCCCCAAACTTGATTGCAGGAAATACGACTTCAGCAACAGAGTAGCCAATGTCTGGAATACTCTACCTGACTCTGTGGTTTCTTCTCCAAACCCCAAAAACTTTAACCTTAGACTGTCTGCTATTGACCTCATCCCTTTCCTAAGAGGTCTGTAGGGGGTGTGCATAAGCGCACCAATTGTGCCTACCATCCTTGTCCTATTGTTTATTTTATTTTATTTTTTTTCTTTTATGTATCCATGTACTCGTAACTATGTTTTTACTTCTACCTATTATCTTGTAAGCAATTGAGAAACCAAAATAAAAATAAATAAATAAATACATACATACATACATACATACATACATAAATAAAAATAAATAAAAAATAAATTGGGTCAATGATACTATCTAACCAACCAAGGATTGTACATAGATCGGCTATATCAAGGGTCTTCAAACATGACAGCTTTAAGACTTGTGGACTTCAACTCCCAGAATTCCTGAGCTAACATGACTGGAGGAGGAATTCTGGGAGTTGAAGTCCACAAGTCTTAAAGCTGTCAAGTTTGAAGACCCTAGTGCTATATCCTATAGTCCTTTCCAACGTTCGTTCACGTAATCAATACAATTGCTAAATCCCGGACTAGATTGATACCAGATAATCAATCCCTCCCTCCCTCCCTCCCTTTCCTCCCCAGTCAATCAATCAATCAGTTTCTCGTCGGGTGCTACAGCTGATCAAAAAGGGGGCGGGGCTGGACAGGTAGGTGGGGCTTGTACCACTAAAGTCGTGACACGTTTGTGTGTGTGTGTGTGTGTGTGTGTGTGTGTGTTCTAAACTCACGTGATCTTCAGGAGTCACGTGGCTGCTGCTCCTTGTGGAAGGGCTCGCTTGCCAAAGGTAAGGACTGTTTCCAGTGGGAAGGCGTGGCTGGCCGTGGAGGATGGGAAGTGTAGTTACAGCACATGGGCAGGACGTCGGCTGGGGATGGGGAGGAAGTTGGTGCTCTGCTTAAGCCTCGTAGTTCCTTGGCTTGTTGTTGTGATGCTGTGGTGGAACTACAACTCCCAGCATGCCTCACCATAGTCTTGCAATTGTTAGTTTCCGCCCACCCCCCCTTAAAATCGCCAGGTTAAATGTGTGTCCCTGCCTCACTTTTTCCCCCAATGTAGCATCCCCAACCTGGGGAGTTGCAAGCTCTCCGCTAAAAGTACTTTTCTTCCTTTTTGTTGTTGTTGCAAACCAGAAATGGTTGCAATATGACCGACCTGTTTCTGACTGCATGCATTTCCGAAATGACTCCCCTTGGCTTTGGTTTGAGATGAGGTTAAGCGTTATGGCTGGACCGCAACGGATCGCATCGTCTGAAAATGCCTCCTGCGATCAATAATACTGATGGAGGGCGCCAAATTTAGCAAATGCTGCATAACGATGGGGGAAAAAAGGGCTCAAAAGGTGCTTTTTTTTTTTTTCCAAGAGGCAACTGGACTTTCTTATTTTTCTTTGAAGATGTTTTACTTCTCATCCAAGATGCTTCTTCAGCTCTGAGGGGAGGGTGGGGATTAGAATATAAATATAAATGGAATAGAAATCCTTCCATTCCCCACCCTCCAGTCTGAGCTGAAGAAGCTTCTTGGGTGAGCAGCGAAATGTCTTCAAAGAAAAAACAAGGAAGTCCAGTTGCCTCCTGAAAAAGCACTTTTGCGACAACATGACTGAGAATCTCCATATATATATATATATATATATATAAAATAAAGACAAGGTGGCCTCAATGATTGGATGCCTTATTGTACCCTATGACTATTATTAAGTATTGTACCTTATGATTCTTGACTCTTGACTTCTTGTATCTTTTCTTTTATGTACACTGAGAGCATATGCACCAAAGACAAATTCCTTGTGTGTCCAATCACGCTTGGCCAATAAAGAATTCTATTCTCAAGATCTCAAAAAAGGCGTTGAGACTTTGGAAAGAGTTTCAGAGAAGAGTAACAAAAATGATTAGGGGCCTAGAAACTAAAACATACCAAGAAGGATCGCAGGAACTGGGTGTGTCTTGTGAAAAGAAGGACTAAGTGAGATATTATAACAGTGTTTGAATATTTGAAGAGGGAGGAAGGAAGAGGGAGGCGAACTTCTTTTCCAAAGCACCAGCGGGCAGGACAAGAAACATTGGATGGGAACTAATGAAGGAGAAAAGCAACCTACAACTAAGGATAGATTTCCTGACAGAACAATTAACCAGTGGAAGTTGTGGGTGCCCCATCACTGAAGGCTTTTAAAGAGAGACTGGACAGCCATTTATCAAAGATAATAGGTGTCCCCTACTTGAGTAGAGTGTTGAATTAGATCAGGGGTCTCCAACCTTGGCAACTAAGACTTGTTGGACTTCAACTCCCAAAAGGAAGTGAGGAATTCTGGGAGTTGAAGTCCACAAGTCTTAAAGTTGCCAAGGTTGGAGATCCCTGGTCCGAATGACCCCCAAGTTTCCTTCCAACTCTGTTATTGTTACTGTTACGGTTCTGTCTTTACCTGCAGCTGGACAACTCGAAAGTCATGGCATGAAAGAAAAAAAAAGAATGGAGAGGGAAAAGGAAAACTAGCCCTAGGGTTTGTAAGGAGTTTAAATGCTGCAAAAAGTGAGTGCACTTGTGGAGTGTGTGATTGGAAAAAAAAGTGCAGTGTGATTGGAAGTCTGCAAGTAAATAGGAAAAAAAAATATAGCCGGGCTTTTGTTTGCAAAATTGTGTGTATTGTTTTGGCACACACACACACATGCTGACCAGCCAGCTCAATCACCCTGCACTATAGAGAATCTTAGGCAGGTTTCATCATTTCCAAAGGACTTCAACTTAACGTTAATTCATTTAACAAAAGAAGATCTGTTGGGATTCCTTTACCTCTTAACCGCAGGTTTATCTGTTTTGCTTGTGTTTTGTGCCCACAGAGCCACAACCCAAAATGCCAAAGGGAGGAAAGGAAAAAAAACTGAGCTCTGTGCAGCTTCCCATCAGCAAATTCCGAAGGAAATTAGTGGAGACTATACAAGGCAACAAATTTGTTGTGGTGACGGGTGAGACGGGAAGCGGGAAAACCACCCAACTTCCCAAATATTTATTTGAAGAAGGTAAGCGCATGTACACGCACAAGCGTACCCCACTTCCAAGGTTCACCGGTGTGAGCAATAATCCTACAAAAGGTTTATTTACAGGTGAAGAAGCAGGCAGAGTTGGGGTGCCAGAGTTAAGTGTGTCATCAGCTTAGAATCATTACATTGCCACAAACAGCCCCAATTCCAACCCCTCTTGAATCGTGTTGACATTTATCTGGCACAATTCAGTATTCAGCTTTAATTGACTAGAGACTTAAGTCCTCGATTTTCGGCCACAATTGAGTGCAACATTTCCTTTGCTAAGCAAGACAGTCTTTAAGTAAGTTTTGCCCAGTTTAATGGCCATTCTTAACAACTGTAGCTATTAAGCGATTCACTGCAGTTATTAAGTTAGTAACAGGATTAAGTGAACCTGGTTTCCCCATTGACTTTGCTTGTCACGAGGTCACAAAAGGGGATCTCGTGACCCCAGGACACTGAAACCGTCATAACTATGAGTCCGTTGGCAAGCGCCTGAATTTGGATCACGTGACCATGGGGATGCTTCAAAGGTCGTAAGTGTGAAAAATGGTCATAACTCATTTCTGCAGTACCCTTGTAGCTTCAAATGGTCACTGAATGAATGGTTGTAAGTCAAGGAGTTACCTGCACAGTGGTTTATATAGAACACACGTTTTTCAAAGGTTGGTCTTTTTGTTCTTCTTTTGCAAAACTCGATAATGTCTTTTACTTGCTTTTTATAGGGTTTGCCAGGCATGGCACAATCGCTGTGACGCAGCCACGGCGCATGGCTGCCATATCTGTGGCGGAAAGAGTGGCAGAGGAGTTAGGCTGCCCAGTGGGAGGCCTTGTGGGATACCAGGTTCGCTTTGAGGAATGCATCTCGGAGGTATGTATTCGAATCCAGCTTATTCTTGAGATGCATTGTTCTATAGGATCTGTTAGTTAGGATCTTGGAGTCTTGTGGACAATCACTTAAATAGGAGCCAGTAGTGTGCAGCAGCTGCCAAAAAAACTAACACAGTTCTAGGCTACATTAACAGAGGGATAGAATCAGGATCATGGGAAGTGTTAATACCACTTTATAATGCCCTGGTAAGGCCACACTTGGAATACTGCATCCAGTTTTGGTCACCACTATGTAAAAAAAGAGGTTGAGACTTTAGAAAGAGTGCAGAGAAGAGCAACAAAGATGATTAGGGGACTGGAGGCTAAAACATACAACGAACGGTTGCTGGAATTGGGTATGTCTAGTCTAATGAAAAGAAGAACCAGGGGGTGACATGATAGCAGTCTTCCAATAGCTCAGGGTCTGCCCCAAATAAGAGGGAGTCAAGCTATTCTCCAAAACACCTGAGGTAAACTGGTGAAGAAGCAACTGGTGGAAACCAATCAAGGAGAGAAGCAACTTAGAACTAAGGAAAAATGTCCTGATAGTTACAACAATTAATCAGTGGGACAACTTGCCTCCAGAAGTTGTGAATGCTCCAACTGGAAGTTTTTAAGAAAAGATTGGATAACCATTTGTCTGAAGTGGTGTAGGGTTTCCTAACTAAGCAGGGGGTTGGACTAGAAGACCTCCAAGGTCCCTTCCAACTCTGTTATTCTATACTATTTATTGGATTTGCCTACTGAGTTTGTGTGTGTGTCAGGAGAGACTTCTGTCTTATGTTCAGAGACACGATAGTGGTTTGTTTTTTTTTAGATTTTCAGTCAAAGACATGATACAGCAGCACTCAAGGAAAAAGAATGAGGAGGAAAGAGGCGGGAGGGAAATCCTTAAGCCTAATAAGTGGATATTTAAAACAAGGTCCTTTTAGTATTTAATAAAAAGTATATTTTGTTTAAATTGTCTTCTCAATTTTGGCTTTCTATGCATTTTAGCCATTGTCAAGTTTACTTATTATCTGCTTTGCCTGCTGTTTTTTTTTTTTTAATGTATTGACTATGTAATATTTTGTCTCGCCATGTCTCTTTTCTGTTATTTGTCGTGCCGTATGCCAGATGTTTAGACTTATTAACAAGGTTGGTTGCACAATCAGGTCGTTTAGACTGGATTTGGCATTTTTATCTATTGATAAGTTCTTTCCAAGGACCTGATTATTAAATTATACGATGATGATGATGATGATGATGATTTTTTAAGGGAGCCTGATGGCTCAACCGTTAAAGACGCTGAGCTTGTCGGCTGATAGCCCAGTTGGATGGGGGTGAGCTCCCATTCCTGCCTCAGCTCCTACCGACCTTGCAGTTTGAAAGCATGCAAGTGCGAGTAGATAAATAGGTACCACATCCGTGGGAAAGTAACAGCGTTCTGTGCATCTTTGGCAGTATAGTCATGCTGGCCACATGACCATGGAAATGTCTTCGGCTCCATTGGCCAAGAAATGAAGATTAGCAGTGCCCCCTAGAGTCAGGTAACAAATAATCAGAGTTGGAAGGAATCTTGTAGGTCATCTAGTCCAACCCCCCTGCCCAAGCAGGAGACCCTACACCATTTCTGACAGATGGGAGTCCAATCTCTTTTTGAAAGTCTCATGACTGGACAGGAGAAACCGTTCCCTTTATTTTTTAATTATTATCTTTTTGTCATTGTTTTTTTTTCTGAATGGAGGATTTCCTTCAAGCAGCTTAAAGAATTTTCTTCGCTATAATCCAAAGGACATCCCTGACTAAATATTGATTCTAAATGGTACAGGGAACAGCGATCAAGTATCTGACGGATGGGTGCTTGTTAAGGCAGATCCTGGCAGACCCGCATCTGACCCAATACAGCGTCGTTATTCTGGACGAAGCTCACGAACGGAGTCTCTGCACGGTCAGTGCTAATAAAATAGGCTGATTAAGATTTATTTCTCTGGCTTGGCGGAAGCTGAACCAAGCCAGCCAATTATTCAGAGTTTAAGTGATGTTGGCAATTTGCTCTGCGCTGCACTTATAAAGGACTCCCTAGGTTTGAAAGACACAGCATAAGAAGAAGAGGGCGTGGGAGGGAGAAGGAAAAGTGTAAGCTCAGATCCTAGGGCTTAATGCAAACAAAAAACAGAATGCAGCCAAGGTCAGAGTAATACTTTGGGGCTTAATTTCCATGTCGACAGGTGCCATTTTTATTTTTATTTGTAATCTAAGGGAATTTCTCTGTGTTCTATAATTTTATATATGATTTCTATAGCCTTGTTCCCTGGGCCATCTTGTGGTAAACTCACAAGATTCGTTTTTGTCGCCATAAACATGCATATATCCGAACTAGACTGTGTTGTTTCTCTGTGTCATATAATATATGTGGGTATATACATATTTTTGTTTTCTTAAGTTTTCGCAGGTACTTACATATATGGTATTCAGCTTTGTTCGGGTATTTTCCCAGGTCATTATAGTTGTGCTTTTAAAGTTGTAGCAACGTTTCGACAGAATCTCATCCGCCATCATCAGGCTTCTGTATTGTGTTCATTATTTTTGTATTTATTTATCTTGTCATGTTTATGTAGTGTAAAATTGGAAGTGGTGACCCATTGAGAGTTGTATGCAATGAAATTTCATTTTTAATATATACCTATTAGTGTACATTCAAAGTGACAGTAACGATTCTATTCTATTCTATTATTCTACTCTATTATTCTGTTCTATTCTGTTACCGATAAAGGTTCTGTTCTATTCTATTCTATTGTTCTATTATTCTATTTACTCTATTCTATTATTCTGTTCTATTCCCAATAAAGGTTCTGTTCTGTTCTATTGTTCTGTTCTGTTCTGTTCTATTCTATTCTATTCTATTCTGTCTTTTCAGTTCTGGAGTGTGCAGTTCAGGTAGTCCTTGACTTACGACCATAATGGATCCTACCTGTAAAGGTCATAGGCAGTGGTGGGATTCAAATTTTTTACTATCGGTTCTGTGCCTTGGTGGGCGTGGCAGGGAAAGGATACTGTAAAATCTCCAGTCAGAGGTGGTATTTGCCGGTTCTCTGAACTACTCAAAATTTCTTCTACCGGTTCTGCAGAACTGGTTAGAACCTGCTGAATCCCACCTCTGGTCACAAGCCATGAAAGTTACAAAACAAGTCGTTCATGTGACCAGCCCAATTTTGATAGTTTTTTGTTTGAGGCGGTCATTAAGTAAACGCATTGGTCGTTAAGCGAATCAGTGGTTCACCATGGGCACGGTTTTGCTGAAAAAGTAAGTAGCAATTTTCAGTAAAATTGTCATTAAAATACAGTCACATGACTGTGGGAGGCTGCAAACGAGCATAAATGCAGCCATTTTACTGAGCACCCAAAGTTCAGTCATGTGACCCCAGAGCGTTCGAATCTATAAGTAGCCCCAAGGTAGGTTGGTCATAATATTGAACAGCAATCGGTCATAAGCCAAGGACTGTCTGTACTATATTCCCAGTCTTTCTTTCCTTTTAGATTAGATTCCCCTACTGGCTGCCTCTAATTCTTGTGGACTAGTGACTTTAAAAGATTCGAGAGCCTGCTGAAATTCCAGCCCGAATCTTAGATTTGAAGCTTCTTCCTTGAAGTGTTTTTTTCCTCCGTCACAGAATGCTTTAGATAGTCCTCGATGTACAACCATTCATTTAGTAACCAGATTTACGCTAGCACTGAAAAAGTTTCACACTTAACGACAGTGGCCACATCCCTGTAGTTGTATGGTTAAAATTCAGATCCTTGGCAACTGACTCACACTTACGACCATTGCAGTGTCCTTCCTGGGGTCATGTGACCCTCTTTTGTGACCCTCTGACCAGAAAGGCAACGGGGAAGCCAATTCTCTTAACAACCGTGCTACTAACTTAACAATTAGAGCGATCCACTTAATGACCGTGCCAAAGAAAGGTTGTAAAATGGGGTAAGACTCAACAACTGTCTTGCTTAGCAACAGAAACGTTGAGATCAATTGTAGTCGTAAGTCGAAGAGGACCTGCAGTCTTAGCTGGCATTTCCCGGATAGCTGGGAATATTTTTGCCAATGAAAAGATCAGTTTAGGATTGGCTGTGTGGTCCACGTGTGAAAGTGGCTGTTGTTCAAAACGTGGACCTTAGAAAGACCGCTTCTCTTTCAGGATATCCTCTTTGGCCTTTTGAAGCAGCTCTTCCACCAGCAAAAAGAAACCCAACGGAAGGAACCCTTGAAGGTCGTTGTGATGTCCGCCACCTTGGACGTGGAGAAGTTCTCCGCTTTCTTTGGCCATTGCTCAGTGGTGGAGATTCCAGGAAGAAAATACCTGGTGGAGGAGATCTTCTGTGATGCCCTGGGCCCCAGAGATGCCAACAGCTCTGCCTTCATCACAGAGGTACTGGCTGGTCACTTTCTCTTCCGATCTAGGCTTCACAACATCACGAACCAGAGTCCTCGTCCCGACAAAACCCCTTTTATTTAGGCTAATGTGAATTCCTCTCATTCACATCCAGCAAAGTCCCGGCAAACAGTCTTTCAAGAGTGATTTACAACCACAGTCCTCATCTGGCTTGGAGAGTTGCCAGGCCGATAGCTTCCAAGTGCAATGCTGTAGCAGAGAATACTTGGCAAGGAGTCAGAAACAAATCTTCACCCTAATTAAATGAACTAACAAGCAATTCACAGCAACAACAGAACAGCACAACCCAGGTTTCTGGCTCCATCTTATGGCCGTTTGAGGAACCACACCTAATTACAATTTTAGCAATCCCTTAAAGAGACAGTATTAAATGTCTATCCTGGTTGATATATTTCTAACCCAACTATTAGGTGACTATCAATTCCTAACAGTACATTTTCCCTGTTTCTCTATGTCCTCATTCTGTCCTTTATAATTTCTTTTCCTTTCCCTCTTCTCCCTCTTCTTCTCTTTTTGATCCCTTCTCTCTCTAATTCTGATTCTCTCTTCTGTAGTCCTCTCTTCTGTTTCTTCCTAATGTTGTAATTACTTTTCAAACTATTCTTGTTTTGGGTTGTTTTTTTCAGATCTTAAATTTTTCACTCTCTTTCCCCTCCTTCCCTTTCTTTTCCCCACATAGAAATACTTGGTCATTAAACATGCCTTCTTCTTTGTCCCGCCGTTCTTGTTCTACAGGCATTTTTTGTTGTTTCTCATAGTTCAGGATCTTCATTTCTAAAAAGTGAAATACGAAGCCGAAAGAACCCTCTTCCTTCTTGGGCATCTTTTTTCTGTTTTTTTAAGTTCCATTCTCAGTTCCTCCAAGAGTGATACCATTTTAAAAACTTTTAAACAACCACCCGATTAATTTTAGTCCTTTAGATCCAATAGCCAAAAATCCAAAAATCACCAAGTAATCCAAAGCTGTTTCTTCCTACTTCTTTTTCCATTTTCTCTTCCTGGGGTTCTCTTATCTTGTTAAAGTTTCACTGTAAATTCCTTTCACTTCCAGGTGGTCTCCTCCATTTTTACAGATCCCACCCTTTTGGTTTTGTTTTTCCTTCTTTTAAAGGTTTTTGAGAATCCAGAAATCTTTATTATCCCTTTGACATTTTATTTTAAATACCTGTTAATGTCAAAGTGGATTTTTGCCGGTTTCTTGCTTAAATCTCTTAGTTGTCAATATGGGGAAGAAAAGAAAAAAAACCCAAGTCCTTTCCCTTCCCTCTCTCATTTGCAGCTTCAAAGTCTTCTTTGGGAACAATGTTGTTCTTTATCATTCAAATTCCCGGGTACCTTATTTGATGCTTTTGCTGTTTGACCCGGTCAACCAAAACTTTCTCTTCTTATCTTCCTCCTGCACATTCTTTTCCGGTCGAGTTCTTCTTCATGGTGGCCATTTCTGACCACAGCTGCAACTGCCTTTGGGAAAGGGAGTAATGGCCAGCTGAGGAGGAGAGATGCGGCTCTCCTCAACCCTGCTGGCAGTCTCCCCTCTCTTCACCACCTCTACAGTGTGGCTTAGCCCCGAAACCAGCCGGCTCGGGGCGCTCCAGTGGCGAACACAGATCGAAACTGCGCACAATCGCAGACTTCGGTCTGTTGCCGAAGAAGCTCAAACCACCATCTCATTTGAGGAGTTCTTGGTGGCCTCTAAGCCTGGTGGTTTGCTTGTGGATGTTACATTACCCAACTAGGTAACATTGTCAGTGCTAGAAGGGAATGGGGTGTGAGGAGGAGCAGGAGCAGGAGGAGGACTATGGGGTCCATAGTGCTCTCTAAGCTTGGTTGTTTGCTTGCAGACATTTTGTTACCCAGCTAGGTAACTTCATCAGTATTAGAAGGAAATGGAGAAGAGGAGGAGGATTGTTATGGGGTCCTTGGTGCTCTCTAAGCTTGGTTGTTTGCTTGGAGGCATTTTGTTATCCAACTAAGTAACATCAGTGCTAGAAGGGAATAGAGTAGAGTAGAGTAGAGTAGAGTAGAACAGATAATAGAATAGAATAGAATAGAATTCGCCATTGGACAAGTGTGATTGGACATACAATGATTTTTTTTAATATTTTTTATTTTTAATATAGTCCATCATCCATTAAACAGTGTGTCATCTGGGTACATATATCTTGTGCAATAACAATTAAAGTTTCCAGCCATAATCATTTACATTAGTATTAATTCTCTACTCTTAACTTATTACTAATATACATAATATATCTAATTATTATAACAATCCTCATCTTTGTTTATTTACTTTTATTAACATGTTTTCTATATTTCACTATATTGCACAGTCTTCTTTTGTTTCTAACTTTCATATTTATTCTCTAACCATCGATAAAATGATTCCCATATCATAGAATATTCAGTTTGCTCCTTCTCTTTAATTGCAAGTGTTATAACACACAAGGAATTTGTCTTCAGTGCATAATAGCAGTAGCACTTAGACTTATATTGTGCTGTCTCTTTTGATGGGTATCTAAATGTGTTTTGCCTCTGTGTGCGTCCTTTGATGGCTGATTTGTCTGAATGCCAAACTTTCGGGAATTCCTAAGCGTTTTAGGATTTAGTTTGGTTTAGGATGCTTGCAAGTTTCTCAGCTAAAACTGAGGTTGACTCTCTCCGTGTGTTGTGAGATGAAAAAGCAGACCACACTCCCATCAACACTGGCAGAGCAAGCTCTGTATGTAATTAGAGAGAACACACCACGCTCACTAGCACTGATGACGTTACCAAGACAGAAAATAAAATGTCTGGAAACAAACAGCCAAGCTCAGAGAGCACCAAGCTCCATGGTGGTGGCTGACATTTCGAGTTTTTCTGACCCACATCCCTCTCTTAGTTCCATTGCAGAAACCAATAAGCTATCAGCATCTAAGTTTAGTAAGAAGGTATAATCTGAATTCTTGTGGTCGGTGCCCAATTATTAGGATTAGTTTATTTCTGCAGCTTTCCTTTAATCCCCTGAAAAACTACAAATCGTTTGGAAGATAGATATGACAAAGAAGCTGCAGGAAAGCCTTCAAACCTTTTTCTAGTTTCCAACTGAGTAAGCTTTATTGAAAGATTAGGTAGAAAAGAATAAGAAATGGCCGCCAGTTTTCCAAAATAATCACAACGGGTTAAAATGTAAGGCATGCTTCATATTGTATTTATGAGAATGGAGTTCCATAAAGCAGAGTTTTTTATAATCCCTGGAGCAAAGCCAGGATAAAACTTGGCAAATGTCCTGGGGATTAACCAAGCTTCCTAAAACCACTGTAAGGGAAACCCCCAAAGCCCCCATTACTTTGGCCTCTGAGCCTTGTTTCTGGAAGGGAAATCATCTCATCTGTTGTACAGTGTGTGTGAATGATCTTGAGCGGGGAGGGGGGGGTCAAACACAAGGCCTGCAGCCCGAATCTTTCCCGTGATGCGGCCAAATAGTTCTGACCCAAACCTGGTTCCAAGAGAGCAAACACAAGACAAAGGCAGCAGCACAACCTTTTAATGTTTCATCTATGAATCCTGTTTCTTCACGGATAAAAGGCTGCTTCCAACTAATTAGCTCCGTCAAAAAAAAAAAAAGCCTTGCCAAGTTTTTGCAAGGCTGCCAAAAACAACAGATAAGAAATATTTCACAACACAAGAGTCTTCAAATACCAACTTCAGATACTGCAAAGCCCACGAGGCTCGAGTTTCAAAACGTCTTTGCTTCCTGCAAAGAACGTCCGATTCACAGCTGCCTTTTATCTTCTTGAAGGAGGGGCCATTACCTTGCAGCCTTACTCCTGAGTCGCCTGTGCTGCTACAGCTGCTCTTTCCTGCGAGCAGCCCTGCGCTCACGCGCACTTGGCACAGGCTCCTTGGGAATCTTCTCATCGCTGCTGCCAGCCCCCACAATCTCTGAAGGCAGCAGTCCACTCCTTAATGGTCCTGGCCCCTCATCTGAGTCCTCGCTCTCCTCAGCCATCCGCACCTGCTGCCGGCTAACCACAACACAAATCCGGCTCGTAGGCCGATCCTGGAAAATGTAAGGGGCTGGGCCTGCGTCCCATTGGCCCGGTCTGCCCAATGCAAAGAGATGTTTGGGGAGTGGCACCAAGATGGCCACACCTACCCATTTGGCCACACCAGGGGTGGGATTCAAAATTTTTAACAACTGGTCCTGTGGGCATGGCTTGGGTGGTGGGCGTGGCTTGGTGGTCATGTTATTGGCTGGGTGTGACCAACTCAATATCACTCACATCGAGGCACGCATTCTCCTTACCTGGCCTCTCATGACTGTGGGGATGCTGCAAGTCATAAGTGTGAAAAATGGTCATAAGTCACTTTTTTCAGTGCCATTGTAACTTTGAATGGTCACTCCACACAAGCAAAGTACCAGCAAAGGAAGGGAAAAAAAACTCCAGAGAAGTTCCTGAGGCAGGAAGTCTATTCCTGCCAAGAATGTAATAAGGGTTAACGGAGAGGCAGTTTCTGTAAGCAACTCCAGAATGTTTCCTTCCTGCCTTCCTTACAGGATTAGCCCAGGAATTTCTTCTAACAACCGGTTCTCCGAACTGCTTAGAATGTTAACAACCAGTTCTAGCGAATAGGTGCGAAACAGTAGAATCCTACCCCTGGGCCACACCCATCCACTCGGCCACGCACCCCCCCTCCCCAAGGTCAACCATAGCCCTGATGCGGCCCTCAATAAAATTTAGTTTGACACCCCTCATCTGGGGAGATCGGGATAGAATAGGTGAAGACAGTGATGGCTCACCTTTTTGTTGTCGCGTGCCGAATGTGTGCGCATGAGCGCGTGCCTGCACCCATAATGCAATGCACATGCAAATCCCCCCGTGCTCCCCCTGCGCATACGTGCTTGACCCCCTTGTGCTCCCCCGTCTCCCAGATACCTGAAAATCAGCTGTCTAGCGGGAGGCACGTGCGCGCATCCGCAGTAGAATTTAGCTGGGGCAACGGCTTGCGTGCCAGCAGAGATGACTCTGTGTGCCATTTCTGGCACGTGCGCCATAGGTTCGCCATCATGGTGCAAAGAGATGCTGCCTAGAGCAGCAGTCCCTCACCTCCAGGCCGCAGCCTGTTACCAGGCCGCGCAAAACCGGGCCGCAGGAGAAATGGGCAAACACGCACGCATGAAGCTCCCCTTGCACGAGAGGCGGACAAAGTCGCAAATGTGGAGCTCCACGTGTGTGAGTGGAAGGTGCTCACACTTGTGCGAGTGGAGCTTGGTGAGCAAACGCAAGTGTCCTCCACTCACATGAGGGGAGCTTCGTTCACGAGCGTGAGTGCTTGCTGCTTGCGCGAGTGGAACTTCGCACGAGTGCAAGCATCCTCTTCCGTTCACGTACAAAACTCCAATCGTGTGAAACAGAGTGAGCGCGTACATGTGCCACTTGCACAACTGGAGCTGTGCCTGCACGCTTTTGCCTGACACTCACATGCCTTCCCTCCCCCCCAGCAGCGGGCCGAGCTGCTAATCTAGAAAGGTTGGGGACCACTGGCCTAGAGAACCATCAGATAAGAGGAAGGGGAGCCCACAGCTGCATGAAGAGGGGAGGAAAATAAAAGTCAAAAGGCTGGAGAAGGGATTTTTCTCATGAGTGGAGAAAAGTAACTCAGAAACCCTCGTAAAGTTCTTAAACTGTAAAAGAAACGGGAGGAAATTTATACTTCTAGATTTGCAAGATTCGGTTAATGGAACCTTACAATACAGGTAGTCCTTGACTTACAACCATTCTGTCAGCGTTCCAGCAACCCTCCATTTTGCCCAATAACTCTGGGACAGACATCTTCTCAAAGCTTCCTTGTTATTTGGATAGTAACTGGCACAACTGGGGAATCCCGAATCTGAAAGTTCAGGGCTTCTTTACAATAAGTCAAAACTACAAAATCCATCCCCTGCACCCATCATCACGTCACATGGCCCCAATCACCATCCATCCCAACTTGAGACTTCCTCTCACTTACGTGCAAAACAACCTGACCTTGAATCAGAAAAAGAATGTTGTTATGTCTAACTAGATATACTCCAAGAAATTCCACCCTCCCATTTTCCTCCCATTTAAAGCTGACACAGTAATTTATTGACCGCTAAAAGTTACAACGGCACTGAAAAAAAACCCGAATTATGACTGTTTTTTATACATACGACTGTTGCAGCATTCCCCATGGTCACATGATCAAACTTCAGACCCTTGACAACTGACTCCTACTGATGACATTGGTAGTGTCCCGGGGTCATGTGATCACTTTTTATGACCTTCTGACAAGCAAAGTCAATGGGGAGGCCAGATTCATTCAACAACCACGTTACTAACTACAAAATGGCCATGATTCACTCAAGGTGGCAAAGAAGTTCGTAAAATGGGGCAAAACTCACATCACAACTTCCTTGCTTGGCAACAGAAATTTTGGGAATTTCAATTTTCAATCATTTTAGTTGCAGTGGTAATTCGAGGACTACCTGTAGTAGTTAGCACGGTATGAAAAAAATATATATATTGCATTTGAGTTCCTCCTACAAACTCTTGACATTGTTTGTTTCAGACTGTCAAAGTGACCCTGGATGTCCATTTGAACGGCTCGGCTGGAGACATCCTGGTTTTTCTGACAGGTAAGTGTTTCCTTGCTTCCAAGTTGGATTTTTACCCTGTGGAGAATCACTAACTCCTTCGTATATAGCAGGGATGCCAAAATTTCATTGAGGGCCGCATCAGAGTTGTGTTTGACCTCGGAGGGGCGTGGTCATGGCTGGGTGTGGGTGTGGCCAGAGTGGGCGTTTGTCATAGGCTCAAGCTCGAAATGGGCCGTGCGGAGGCTTTGTGGCGCCTCCATGCGGCCCGATTTTGGCTGGGAGAGTGCTGCTGGAGGCTGGGGAGGCCAAAAAGAGGTTGCTGAGAGGCACCCCAAGGTCCCTGCCAGAGGTGGTATTCAGCAGGTTCTGACCAATTCTGGAGAACCAGTAACAGAAATTTTGAGTAGTTTGGAGAACCGGCCAATTCCACCTCCGACTGGCCCCCGCCCGCATCTCTTCTTTGCCTCCCTTTGAGGCAGATCAGCTGGGTCTCCTTTGGTTGCCCTGCACAGGAGAACGGAGCTGGAAAGCAGGTTAGTGGGGTGGGATGGGAATGGAGATTTTGCAGTAACTTTCCCCTGCCATGGCCGCCAAGCCACACCCACTAAACCACGTCCACAGAACCAGGAATAAAAAAAATTGAATCCCACCACTGGCCCCCTGCACATTTTTTGGCCCCCTGGCCTCCAGCAGCACTGATCCAGCCAAAATTGGGAGGGCAGTGCACCCCCATGGCCTGTTTTTGCCAGCAGAGTCCCTTGATATTTCCGACCAGATTTAAGGGGCTTGCGGGCTGGATGTGGGCCGTGGGCCTTCAGTTTGACAACCCTGGTATACAGGTAATCCTCGACTTAAACCAGAGTTCCCCACTATTTCCAGCTTTGCAGCTTTGTCCTAACTCTCAGAAAGTTTCTCCTTAATTCTGAGTTGCTTCTCTCCTTGATTAGTTTAAATCCATTGCTTGTTCTTCTGCCTTGGAGTGCTTTGGAGAATAGCTTGACACCCTGTTCTTTGGGGCAGCCCCTGAGATGTTGGAAGGCGGCTATCATGTCTCCCCTGGTCCTTCTTTTCACTAGACTAGACCAGGGGTCCCCAAACTTGACAACTTTAAGACGTGCGGACTTCAACTCCCAGAATTCCCATTAGCAGAGGATGAGATGGTTAGGTAGTATCATGGACCCAACGAACATGAATTTGGGCAAACTCTGAGAGATAGTGGAGGACAGTGAAGATTCAAACACAACTTAGCAACTGAAATCTAGGACTGCCATATAAAGGCTGTAAAATTATGGACTGACCACTAGAGGGCAGTAAAGGATATCCTTTGCTGACACTTAGGGCAGGGTTTCTCCATCTTGGCCTCTTGAACTTCGCGGACTTCAACTCCCAGAATTCCCAGAAATACCGATCTAGGGACTCACTGAAGTTTGAGCAAACCGGGCCAGTTGTGGATGATTTTACAAAAAATATCAGTAAGCCAAGCATTAGTCACACGGCCACGGAAATTGAGCCACGGCCTGGGTTCAGGTTGGGGAGAGCACCGTTAGGGAGAGCGAGGCAACTATAGCGACTTAAAAACCTGTGGACTTCAACTCCCAGAATTCCTGAGCCAGCGTGGTTAGTTCAGGAATTCTGGGAGTTGAAGTCCACAGGTTGTAAATTTGCCGTAGCTGCCCATCCCTGCCTAAGAATAAACAATAGTATGCCTTATAACAAGGGTCTTCAAACTTGACAGCTTTAAGACTTGTGGACTACCAACTCCCAGAATTCCTGAGCTAGTATGACTGGAGGAGGAATTCTGGGAGTTGAAGTCCACAAGTCTTAAAGCTGTCAAGTTTGGAGACCTCTGAACTAGACATACCCAATTCCTGCAACCGTTCTTCATATGTTTTAGCCTCCAATCCCCTATTTCATATTTCATCTTGTTTTTAAGCTTGATGGCTCTTCCCTTGGAATACAGGTAGTCCTTGACTCAGGACCACAACTGGGATAAGAATTTCCATTGCTAGCAAAGAAGGTTATTTAGTGAATCATGACCAATTTTACAACCTTTTTATCGTGGCCATTAAGCGAATCGCTGCAGTTCGGTGACTCACCTGGCCATTAAATGACTCGGGCTTCCTCCATTAACTTTCCTTGTTGGAAGTAGACTGGGAAGATCCCAAATGGGGTGTCAATTCATACAATATTTCTCTGGTCTTTTAAGAGTTGCCAGCAGAAAGGGAGGGCGGGGTAGTGCATTCCTTAAATGTTTTCATAGATTATTTCTAGGAGACCGAAGTTTCTGGCAGGCAAAATTCTAACTGGAGAACATGATTGATGACTCTTGGCTATGGATGTGTCCCATTGGAGAATATGAATTAGGATACACCCAGGGGGTGGGAGAAAACCAGGGTCAAGGATGCAATGAATGATATGTCTCAGAGTTGGCTACACCCAGGTAGCACCAGCATGTTTACACCTAATAAATCTTTAAGCTCTGAAAGTTCTGGCTCATGATTTAAATGGGGATCACATGATCTTGGGACAGTGCTCCAACCGTCATAAATACATGCCGAAGTTGCCCAACATCCAATTTTGGTTGATGTGACCGGGGCGATGATGCAACGGTTGTAAGTGTGAGGACCAGTCGCGAGTCCTTTTTTTTCCCCTCAGCGCCGTTGTAACTTCGAACGATCGCTGCACGAATGGCTGTAAGTCAGAGACTACCATTAGCCTTTCCCTCAGTTCTTAAGAACAATAGTTTGTGGTTCCACACTAGGGCAGTCGGAGATTGAAAGAGCTTGCGAGCTTCTCTTCCGGAAAGCCGAAATGATAGACTACCGCTTTGACGTAAGAGATGGCGCCGTGGACGGCTTGCTTATCTTGCCGTTGTATGGCTGCATGCCAACAGGTGAGCATAACCGATTTGGAAGGGGATTTGGATGGGGGTGGGCTTCAAACACTTTAGCAAGGGGTTCTCTGGCCGGTTGCTGGGTGGGCGTGGCCACGGTGGGCGTGGCCTAGTTGGCCTCCTGCACCACGGTGGAGGAGGCGTTTTTGCCCTCCCCGGGTGCCGGAGGCTCTCTGGAAGCCAGAAACGGGCCCATTGCCGGCCTTCCCAAACTTCTGGGAGGCCTGTTTTTCGCCCTTCCCGAGCCTCCGTCCGTGCCCTGCACTTACCTCACATCCAAATTGGGCCGTGTGGGGACTCTTGGGAGGGGTGGGGTGGCTGGGGAATGGGATTTGGGGCTTCTCTGAACTGCACAGAGTCTTAGCTAAGGGCTCTCCTGAACCCCTGCAAACCCCCAGTAGCCCCACCCCTGGCTTTGGAGGTCTTCTAGTCTAGGGGTCGCCAACCTTTTAAACCTCAGGGATCACCAAACACATAATTTTAAATCCCATTGACCAGAGACCCTGGGAAAATCCCCCAAAAAGTCTGCAGAAAAATGTCCCACCCCGTTTGCCTACCAATCAATCATTCTGGGATCACAGGATACCAAGATCGCAGGATCTCCAGCTCTGTCCTTGGGTGGTGTGGAGAGAGAGAGAGACTTTTGGCTTCATGCAAGGAAAGCAGCAGAAGCAGCAGAAGTCTTTCTTTCTCTCCCCCAAACTCCACCAGAAGGGCGCAGCCACTTGGAGCAGGAGGCCTTGCAGGGTCCCAAAGACTCGTTTCAGGCAGAGTTTGGGGGAGAGAAAGAAAGACTTTTGCTGCTTTCCTTGTGTGAAGCCAAAAGCAGAAGGAGAAAGAAGCGGAAAGAAACAGCCCGGTGGCCAAGCCAGGCATGTGGGGCGCGTGGGGAAAGTTCGCCCACCCCGCCCTTCCCCCCCTCCCCTCACTACCTCCTGTTGTTCACAATGCAAGTGATGCAAGCCTTGTGTTCCCACAAGCCATGTGGGTGGCGCAGTTCTCACACAGCCTGGATTAATTGCTTTGTGGTGTGCTTTGTGGGTGACATTTCTCTGCGGACCACCCAAATTTTCTTGCGGACCACCAGTGGACCCAGGCCCACTGGTTGGCAACCACTGTTCTAGTCCATCCCCACCCTACTCAGGGCAGGAGACTCTATAGCAGTGGGGGCTAACCTTTTGGGGCTCCTGTGCCAAAAATTGTGTGTGTGCTTGCACACTTGCACTTGCGTGCCACCACCTAGAAGGCAATGCGCGTGCCCCCACATCCCCTACGCATGCATGCTCAATCCACCCACCCACCCCGCCGCCCCCTTACCTGCACTGCACCTCACAGCTGATTTTCGGCCGGTGGTTGTCACTTAGCCTGTTTTTCCAAAAAAACAACGGAAGTGAAAAACGGGGCTAGATTTCGGCCTACAAAGCTTGTAGAAGCCTGCAGAAGCCTTCCCCAAGCCTTTGGGAGGCCGAAAAAGGTCTCAAACTGGCCAAAAAAACAGCTGTGAGGCGCGCACATGCTCAGTAAGGTAAGTTTGCCTGCAGCTGGCATGTCGGCACAAATAGCTCTGCGTGCCACCTGTGGCACGCGTGCCATAGGTTTGCCATCATGGCTCTATAGCATTTCAGACAAACGGCTGTCCAATCTCTTCTTAAAATCTTCTTGTGTTGGAGCATTCACAACTTCTGGAGGCAAGTCGTTCCAGGGATTAATTGTTCAAATTATCATGAAATTTCTCCTTAGTTCTAGGTTGCTTCTCTCCTTGATGAGTTTCCATCCATGGCTTCTTGTCCTGCCCTCAGGGTCTTTGGAGAATAGATTGTTTCCCTCTTCTTTGTGGCAACCTCTGAGATATTGGGATAGCAATAGCACGTAAACTTATATATACCGCTTTACAGTGCTTTTACAGCCCTCTCTAAGCGGTTTACAGAGTCAGCCTCTTGCCCCACAACAATCTGGGTCCTCATTTTACCCACCTCGGAAGGATGGAAGGCTGAGTCCACCTTGAGCCTGGTGGGATTTGAACTGCCAAATTGTAGGCAGCCGGCAGACAGCAGAAGTAGCCTGCAGTACTGCAGTCTAACCACTGCGCCACAGAAGTCACTCCTCAGTCCTTTTTTTCCTTAAACTTCTTCTATTGCATACATCCGGATTTTCACAGAGTTGAGTCCTTACTTCTACTGCATTTTGCAACGTTTTGTAAAATGTCATGACATCAACATTTTTCCTTAGCCTTTTTTCAAATCTCATTTGGCCCCCAGAGTTGTAAATACTCCATCAGTGGAAGGTTTCCAAGAAAAGATAGGATCACTGTATAAATCAGAGGTCGCCAAACTCAGCAACTTTAAGACTTGTGGACTTCAACTCCCAGAATTCCTCAGCTAGCGCTAGCTGAGGAATTCTGGG